GGGCGTCCGGCCACAGTACACACTGGGGGTGGATGGCCAGAAAGGAGAGCCCAAACTTGCTACCTCCGTGGGCTGGGAGTCCCGCACCCCAGCTTGAGGAGGTGACCGCCGGGAGCGCGACTACCCAGCCCACAGGTCTCCACTTGACCCATCAAGTTCGTCGCCTCTAGGCTGGGGCCGTGCCGGCTCCCGGTGCGCGCGGGGACCGGGGGAGCAGTCGCTGAGCGCCAGAGCGCCCCCCGGGAGCGGGGGGCCCAGCGCCGGAGAGAGGAGCCCGGGACCCACCCGCGGAGCCGAAAACAAGTGTATTCATATTCAAACAAACGGACCAATTGCACCAGGCAGGGAGAGGGAGCATCCAATCGGCTGGCGCGAGGCCCCGGCGCTGCTTTGCATAAAGCAATATTTTGTGTGGGAGCGAGCGGTGCATTTGCATGTTGCGGAGTGATTAGTGGGTTTGAAAAGCGAACCGTGGCTCGGCCTCATTTCCCGCTCTGGTTCAGGCGCAGGAGGAAGTGTTTTGCTGGAGGATGATGACAGAGGTCAGGCTTCGCTAATGGGCCAGTGAGGAGCGGTGGAGGCGAGGCCGGGCGCCGGCACACACACATTAACACACTTGAGCCATCACCAATCAGCATAGGTGTGCTGGCTGCAGCCACTTCCCTCACCCACACTCTTTATCTCTCACTCTCCAGCCGCTGACAGCCCATTTTATTGTCAATCTCTGTCTCCTTCCCAGGGATCTGAGAATTGCTCTCACACACCAACCCTGCAGCGTCTGTGGAGAAAACTCTTGCGAGCAACTCTTTTAAAACACCATCCTTTCAAACGGTTGTGGGTCTTTAAGCAACAACAACAGAAAAACCAAACCAAATCAAACCAAAACACCAAAAAAAAAAAGATCAAAAACCCAACCAAACAAAACTCTTGACAGGAGCTTTGACCACGAGAGAGGATGCCTCAGAAAGGTGAGTGCGCTGCTTTCTTCTCGCTTTATGATGATTGTTTCTTGTAATCTTCAGGCAGGTCTCCCTCTCCCTCCCCCCTTCTCCTCCTTCCTCCCCTCTCGCTGGTCCCCTCCCCCCACGGCGACGCCTGGAGAGTTGGGCAGAAGAAGTTTCCACGCAGGATCCCAAACTTTCTACTTCCAGCGAAAGCCCGCGTCGGAAGGGCGACGGCCCCGGGAGCGGTGGCGGGCACCGACCCCGAGGGCGGCCGGCGATGCACCAGCGCGGGTGGATCTCGCAGCAGCCACCACCGGGGTTCCAAGCGAAGCTGTAGCCTCCCTTCCCGGCCCGGGTGTCGCCAAAGACTCCAGGCCTTCGAGGGAGATCGAAGAGACTCTTCCATGGAGCCCCAAGGCCTGGGGACGGCGGCTGAGACCTGCTGCCGCCGCGGCTTTGTGCAGCCCGGGCCCAGCCAGCGCGCAGAGAGCCGGCGCGGCGCGGAAGCGCGCCGGGGGGGGAGTCAGCTGGTCCCGCCGCCGCCCGCCGGCCCATCCTCCGGCTTTGTGCGGCGCTGGACCCTGGCGCGGAAAAGCACTGGGCATCACCGTCGCCCCCGGCGCGATCGGACTCAGTCGGCGAGGCAGCCACAAGCTGGAGGCGGAGAGAAACCACAAGCGAGCTCGAGCCGGTAAAGAAGCCAGCAGGCCAAGGCGGTGGGACGCACGCTCCGAGAGAGCTCGGAGCCCAGCGAGCGGGAGGACTGTCAGCTTCCACCGAGCCCCCCGGGCTCCCGCGTCCGGCTCAACTTGAGAGCGAAGCTCGCGCTGGCAAACTCTCTGGTCCCTGGCTCCCCCCTCCCCGCGCCCCTCACCTTCTTCCCCTTCTCTCCGAAAGTTGAGGTGCTCCTCATCACTTGTCCCTAGAGCTCAGTGGGTGTTCGTCCTTGTCCTATTCAATCCAAGTCGCCTCGAAGTGCTGCCATTTCAACAAGTTTCCAACTGGAAAGGTGGCTTCTTTCTTTCTTTTCTGTTCGTTTCCTCTCTTTCTTTCTCGCTCTTTTCTTCTTCCTTCCTTCTTTCTTCCCTTTTTCCTTCTTTCTTTTTCTTTCCTTCTTTTGTACTCTGAATCCCCTCATTTTTTTCTTTTGTGTTGCCTTAAAAATATAAGAAAGCATTGGCTTTCCCTCTCATCTAATCACATCCTCTCCCAACTAATTAGTCTGAGTAATTTGAGAGTTTGGGGATTCTGAGACCCCCGGAGGAAAAGTGTCTTTTCAAAGTTCATAAAGTTGTTGCCTTCTTTCCTGGTGCAGATTTTTCTCAGTCTCCCTGTGCTGCCATAATAGCCCTGAATGTTAGCAAGTGTAATTGGGGGAAATGGAGTTGAATTTCAAGTGGAAATGCTTTCTTTTTCAAGTGCGAAAACCTAGCCCTTCAGTCATCATGGTTTCTGGAAAGTTTAAAAACAAAGTGATTGTGGTTTTCTTTTCTTTCTTTTTCTCTCTTGCTTTCCCAAGCTCTCTAAGCCATTTTCGATGTTTAGTTTGAACTTGAGAAGGCTTGAAGAGGGGGGAAAAACAGCAGAAAATGAAATGAAAAGCAAAGTACTTGGAAGCAAGTGAACCAAGGAGAAATAATAGTTGCTGCCACTGACATTACTTTTTTTTTTTTTTTTTGGTAATACCCGGTGACCTTTGCATATGTCTGAAGGCAATTTGATTAGTTGTTATCTTATTTGGCCCTAGAGAATAAAAGTTTGTCATCCTAATTGCTAATTACTGGGGGAAGGGGTTAGAGTCCCGAAAATGAGTTTTCCCCTTCATCCCAGCTAAGGAGTTTGGTGGGTTGGTGTGGATTTTGAGAATTAAGGCATTAAAACAAACAGCAGCATTTAAAGCTCAAAGTTGTATTGGGGACAGGGAGTGGGGTCATAGCCCAGCGGCCTTTTGTGGAGTATGCTGGTGGAGTTTGAGATTTGTGAAGACTTCCATCTGAATGTGGGTCTTTGGCCTTACCAAAGCCATACAAAGCCCCAGATTGGGTTAGGAGGCTTGGGCTTGGGCTGGGGGTCTGGCGGCACTAAGAACACGACTGGACTGCTTCCGGTGTTAATGTGCCTTGCTTCCCAAGTTACTTTTGCATTAAGTGTTAACTATTACTTAAGTAATTAGATAGCTTCTTAGCCAAGTTTGGGGGGGGCGCGGGAGACGGGAATGGAGGAGAACCGGAACTTGAAATGCTATCACCTTCCCAGCTGCTTCGAAAATTAATCAGTGAGGCTGTTCAAGGATCAGCTAGGAAGAAGGAGAAGGAGAAGGAGAAGGAGAAGGAGAAGAAGAAGAAGAAGAAGAAGAAGAAGAAGAAGAAGAAGAAGAAGAAGGTGGAACTAGCTAAGGTTGAGGGCAAGCAATTGTGATGGTGTAGGGGGTGGGTTTAAAGAGAGAAGTTCAGAAAGTTTTACCCCTCCAATTGGAATTCACTTCCCTCTGTCCCCATCTTCTACCTTTTGCTACTTGCACTTAGGGAAAAGTACATTCTAGCCAGAGTTGGGGTTTATGTCTGGTCTTGGCAGGGCTGTAGATTCTAGGACTGAGATGGAGGGAGGCTCTTTAGAGAGTGAAACCCCATAGCGTTTTAGAGGTTACATTTTGTTGTGGCCACTGTTTGCTATGGCACAATCAGATGCTGAGAAAAAAGTCTTCTTAGTAGCTTCAGTTTTATGAATTTAAGCTGTCTCCCAGTTAGTTAAAAAATTGGACCAGAACAGGCCTTGGAGAGGAAAATATACTTCTTGAAATTCTTGACTCATAAGCAGGCAAAATTAATAAACATTACAAGCAAAATGGATAAAAGAATGCTTTTAAAAATAGATGATGCTGTCAGTATTTCATTATTTTAGCTCTTTATTTTTTCTTCCTTTTTTTTTTTTGGTCGAACCTCCTGAATGCACTCTTTATTGTAACTCTCCCTTCCCAATTGAGCTCCCCACGGTGCCCTTGTATCTTTTTACAGCCCCTAACAACTCACACCAGTAACACAATTACCTCCAGAAATTTATAACAAGAAATTACTTTTCTATTTTCTCCATCCTCCTCCAAGAACCTTCTTTAGGGAAAGATAGGAAGGGGGTGGGAGTGAGAGAGCCTTCAGGGACCTGCGCTGGGTCAGGACTTATGAAGTGAGAAGAATCCCTCCCTCCATTCCCTTTGTGAGTTGGTGAGTTGTTGGTACATTTGGTTGGAAGCTGTGTTGCTGGTTAGGGAGTCTGGGTTTTGCTCTTTGGATTGGGGAAAGCCGGAGAATAGAAGCCATTGTTCACCGCCTGTAGGCTTTGTCGACCATGCTCACCCCCTCCTGTTCATACTTTTTAAAGCAGTGAGGCGAGGTAGGCAGCGTGTGTCACAGTACAGTAAAAAGAAGGGAGATCTAAACACCAAAAGAGAACTTAATCACAATAAATAGAGTTTGGGGAAGAAAGTTGGGCTCACCACTTGTAAAGTCTCAGAAGGGCTGGGAGTGAGGTGGAGAGGGAGGTATGACTGGGAAGGAAAATCAGATAGCTGGATTCTGGGGACCTTGGGACAACTGAGGGGGTGAAATTCTTTACAGAAAGAGGGAATGTGCACCAGCAGCTCTCTCAGATGGCTCTAACCTGTGCCCCCCCCCCAGGAACTACCAAGTTCTTAGAGGTTTCCTCTTTACCTCTAAAGTTTAGGTATTATGCCCTACCCGCACGCCCAGTTTTTAGCTCTATTCCTTATCCCACTGTTTCCCTGACCCACCCCTTCCTCTCTCTCCCTGGTTCTTGATATTTTTGCAAAATGGAACCACAGCTGATCAGACTCTCTAATTCTCTCAACCAGGCCAAAGCAGCCTTTTCTAAACAGTGGGGTTGATGGCTAGGGGAGAGGGTGCTGGGCTTTTGGGTGTGATGCTGGGATTCATGGCAGAGTGATTGAGCCCTAACCCATCTACCTGTGCTTCCAAATCAGTTTGACATCTCTCTCTCTCTCTTTCTTTCTCTCTCTCTCTCTTTCTCTCTGTTTTGTCTTAGGGGGAAGACTTTAACTAGGGCTGTGCAGATGTGTGAGGCCTTTTATAAGAGTGGACAGACATCCAAGATTTCAGGCAAGTTCTGTAATGCTTCTCTGGGCTTTAAAACCTGAAAGAATTGAAACAAACCATTCCAGAATATTTTCTCATTATAGTACAGATGGGGGGGGGATCAAATCGGGTCATCGTTTCTTCTGATTAAAAGATTAACTACTAAAGGATTTTTTTTTGGTGGGGGGAGACTGGGAATCTTGGAGCATTTTTATTTGAAAGGCTGAAGGGTAGATTTTGGTATGCACTGGAGAGCAGGATCTCGTTGACCCTGTGGTGGCCCCAAGTGGTAGAATAGATCAGTTTCTTGAAAGAGGAAGACTTTCCCCGTCCTGGCCCCAGGCTTTGGGTGGGAATCAAGTCTATCTGGTGATTAACTTTTATTTTCTTGCTAACAGAGCCCCAAATTCGAGCCTCCTGGGATCCTGAAGCCCCCCGCCAGCGTCAGTATGCAGAACAGTAAGTGCCTGAGTCTTTTGCGGACTTCGGGGCTGGAGGCGCGGGAACCAGCCTTGGTCAGGGGAGGGCTCAGAGGCTCAAGGCAACCGGAGCTGGTCTGGCCACCTGGCGGGAGGGGGAAAAAAAGCCCTGGATCGGCCGTAGTGTCTTCACCCCTCAGCGCCAAGTAGCCCGCCAGGGGAGGACATTTGCTTTGCTTTTCTTGATTCTGGAAACTCAAGGGCTGCGCCCAACAGAAACAGCCTAAGTTTTCCGTGCTGCGGTAGAGAAACCCCATCCCCACCCCCCAAATCCTGTAACTCACACCCCCTCCCCGCCCCTGCCCGGGCTCTGACCCCAGAGAGAAGGGCTGGGCTGAGTTAGGGCGGGGCGAAGGCTTCTGGTTGTGCTGGAAGGAGGCCCCTTTGGATTTCACCAAGACTGAATGTCTCCACAGACAAGGCCAGGTGGGGGGCTTCCCTCCCCTAGTCACCCTCAGCTCCTCCCCTCCCCATTTCAGCTAGAGGCCTTGCAGGAAAGCCTCACCCCAGGCCTGAAGCAGGGTGGGGCTGGTAAACAGCACTGCGGGAATTGTTACCAGTGTAAGGCTGAGAGCAGGGGTTAGTAGACATGGGAAAAGCATGGAGGCTGTGTCAAGAATTGGAAATGCCCTTCCTTGCTTGGATCCTGGTGATCCCAGGCCCACGGGTGCCTTTGATATTCCAGTGTCTGTCTGCTTTCCTCTGCTTGGGCCGTTTTGGGTACCACCCGCCTGACTTCAGTCAGTAGGTGCTGGTGCATGGCAGGGTTAGGCCTAGAGCCTCAGGCCTGATGGCAGCCTGAAGGCCCAGTAAAACTAGGCTGGGTTCAGGTTTGGAGTCTGTACCCGGGCTTAGGCTTCACTTGAAGTGTGGGAAGGCCTAGGTCTTCTAGAGACACATCTTTAAGAGAGTCCCCATCAGTTCTGGTGGAGCTGGCTGTCCCCTACTGCTCAGGAGTTGGTAGACACAAAGGGAAGGGAAGGGCACAGAGTTAGAGCCTTGAGGCACGTTTTTACAGAACCTTGCAAAGCCCAGGGCTTGGCCAGGATCCCCCTACCCTCCATCACATGGCAAATGCCTTTGCCTACCCTACCAGGTGACTAGATCGCCACCCCTACCCCCAACTCAGACTTCCTTAGAAGCAGGCTAGGTGGGTCCAGGCTCTCAGTCCTGAGCATTTACCACTGAGGTCTGGCTGGCAGGCCCAGAGGGCCATGGGGTCGCGGGCCAGCCTGCAGGGCTTTGTGCCGTTCATTCCCCGGGTGTGCAGGAGGAGCGGAGCATCCAAATTGACACCATATGTTTTCCTATTAGATGCTTCGCGGTTGAATTCTAGGCGCATAATCATCGCCACTGGGCGAGAGTGCCAGCCGTCCCTAGGGAAGGGACACAATGATTGAGGCTTAACCTGGGAGGGAGACTTGAGAGCTGGGCTTCCTCCCTGCCATTTCGATGCTGGCAGAGACTGTCTAGTTCTTGGTGTCTCCTGGGCCAACACCCGCCAGCCATAGTGGCTGCTGTGGTGGTCACGTTATTTTTGCAATAGATGGGGAAGGAGGAAAGTCTAAGATGAGGTGGCCTTGCACTGGCTCCACTGGCTTTCGGCTTTCGGCTTTTTATGTAGGCTGGAATTGCACCGGCTTATGTATGGAGTTTGGAAAGTCCTCTCCATTTCTGTGGGCCAGCCCTTCTTTTTTCTGGAAGGCTTCGGTGCCCAGAGGTGGGGCTTTGTAGCTGAAGCAATTATAGGAGACTTGGGAGACCAAGGAAGGCGATGAAGGGAATTCAGGAGAAACCCGAAGCACAGCATAGGCCTTGCTCTATAGGCAAAGCTCTGTCCTCGATGTGTCCTGGCTTGTGCTTGCCCTGGCTGGAGCCTAGATCCCCAAAGGCCTGTCACTTCTCATCCAGTTGAAGTTCTGGGTCCCCCTCCCTGAGTGAGCCCCCCCCCAGCCCTAAGCCTTGGGCTACCCTGAAAACGCGGTTCCCCTCGAAGGGGAAACGAGTGCAGTTCAATCTTGTCTGAGTGATCTACAAATAGGGACGGAAAGGGTCGTTTTATCACGGTCCCGTTTGTCGTGACGATGCAATTTCCCGGAGCGGAGCACTGTCACAAAGTGACAAGGCTGCCACAAGCGCCCCGACTGATCTTTTCAATTAGCCTTCCATGCATGATCCGGAGCGACTTCCGCCTATTTCCAGAAATTAAGCTCAAACTTGACGTGCAGCTAGTTTTATTTTAAAGACAAATGTCAGAGAGGCTCATCATATTTTCCCCCCTCTTCTATATTTGGAGCTTATTTATTGCTAAGAAGCTCAGGCTCCTGGAGTCAATTTATCAGGAGGCTCCAAGGAGAAGAGAGGAGAAGAGAGAAGAGAGAAGAGAGGAGCAGGAAGCCACATCTTTTCCTGGGAGGGCTGCTTGCTAGAGTCGGGGCTGCAGGTTGGAGAATTTTTGAGGAAGTGGAAATGTATTTGTGTGTCTGTGGTTTCTCTGGAGGGGGTAATTTAGAAGTGTTTTCTAAGACCAGACAATGGGGTGAGGTTGTGGGATACAGGATGCAGAAGGGATGTAGACACTATGATAGATTGTTTTTTCCTTTTCTGTCTTTAAAATTTTTTTTTGCTAGTATTTGTGTCCTTGGCTGAGGGAGGGCGGGAGTTCGGCTTCTAAAGTAAAGCAAGCGTGTTGGTGTTGGGTGAGAAAACTCCTCGCTCTCAGTTCTACTTGCGGGGCTGGAGCACTGTTCAGCTGGGTGCGGGTTCTGAACCTAAGTGCTTGAAAGTGGAGGCACAAAAACCCAGCGAAGGGTTCACTAGCTATAGATTTGTTGCTTTGGTTCTTCTCTACTCTTTTCCTTTCTCTTCTATTGAAATAATAATAATAATAATAGTAATAATGCTAGCAGTCCACAAAGCCCCTGTGCTGTGGGGGTGCCTTTGCTGGAGTGTTGATCATGATGCAAATGTTTCTGGATGTTAATGTCCAACAGAGCTGTGCGGGGCTGTGGGATTTGCTTTCACGGTTCCTACGCCACAGAGGCTGGAGTGGGGTGCTATAGAACCTGGGTTTGAAAAGATGTATAGAAGGATTCTTGAGAAGAAAATTGTAGAGCCAATTTGTTTGCACCTTGTGAGTTTCAAGGCAGCTGGATCACTTATGAAGGAGAGTGGGCTGGCAACACTGCTGGTTTGTTGGTTGTCCTGGGTCTGACATTGGAGCTTCAGCAATCCAGGGTGCAGAGAACAGAATGTATGTGAGGCCCGGCTGCCCAGTGCTCTGCTGGGCTGGTGCTCCTATTGTCATGGGTGTTTTGAGCTATACCAAGGACCTGATTGCTGAGGTTGGCACAGGTTGGCAGGGAGCTAAGGATGCATTGTGGTTCTCTCTCTCTCTCTCTCCCTCCCTCCCTCCCTCCCTTTCTCTCTCTCTCTCCTTTTTCTTTTTTTCTTCTTCCACCTCCTCTTTCTTGCTGCTCCTCCTCTTCTTCCTTTCTTCTTCTTCTTCTTCTTCTTCTTCTTCTTCTTCTTCTTCTTCTTCTTCTTCTTCT